AGAACAGAGGTTTCCCTGCAGAAAACAGAAACATGTGCACAGAAACAGATGGATGGAGAGAGGGACACACACACACAGAGAGAGGGGGGGGGATAGAAAAGTAGAGGGAGCACAAAAGGTACACCAGTGAGTGGCAAACCCCCAAAATGATTGAAAATAAATACATTTCTCAAGTGATTTAAAATAAACAACCCTCTCACAGCTAAATAAAATACCTTACTTTCCAACAAAAGTAAGGCCAAATCTATATATATCCATGCTTCCATGTGTGTTGATTTCAAACATGCTAAACCGAAACCAAATGCATGTTATTTTTCTACATGTGATATACTGTATTGATGTAGCTGCCCCTCCTCACTCCTATGTTGTGCATATTGACCTAGAGAAGCCAGAAAACTAGGCACACAAAAATCCACCAGCCATTTTCTGGGAGCAAACCTCAACCCAGCCTCTAGTGTCCCATAGTTACAGTAGCAACAATGCTGGCTGGGAAGCTCTAATCATTACCACTCCAGTCTAGGAATCACAATCTTGGCTTCTGGCAGGAGCAGAGGGCAGCTCATGCTAGGAGATACGGGTGCAAGGAGGTATTGAGAGATAAAACTATTTGCACAACTAGGAGCTCTGTTAGCACAAAGCACAGATATGACCCTGGCTAAGGTATGGAATCATTATTTGGAAGCTTCACACCTGAACTTGAATCTTGCACATTTGCATTTCAAAAAGTTTGTTGCAAAATGTTGATCTAGTCTAGCAAAGCTTTCTGATACCCAGCAGTGAGAGCCTTCCGTTCCTGTAGGACTCTGACACCGTGCAGAGTTTCATCGTACTAAATTTAGGATGGGCACAGTAGGAACAGGTCTTCACTCCTCCTTCACTCCTGATAGAACGTTACCCAGACAGAAAAAAATGAAAATGTTATTATAATTGCCTATTACTTGGTCTCAGAGGACTTTAAAGCCAGACAGAGGTTTCATCTGAGTTTTGCTAAGGGACTAAATCAATGACTCATCAAGCCTTCTTTCACAGAAGCATTAAAATTTAAGAGCAGTTTCATAGCAGATATACAGTTGAAACTACCCCAATCGGTTTGAATTGGGTTTAATAGTAATATTTGTATATTTACTGTTTTTATCTTTTAAATATTGTCCTTTTAATGTTGGGTCCTTTTAAGGAGAAAGGGGGGGTAGTCACCTTGAGTCCTTTTAAGGAGAAAGGGGTGGTGGTAAAAACAAACAAAAGAACAAAGTGGCTTAAGATCTGCTTCCTAGTTTAGAGTCTGCATAAGGTTTCAGAGTTTGTATGGTGTTTCAGACATTCATAAAACACATTCACGTTGTTCCAGCTGGGAATAGTGCAAATGCATTTAAATTGCTGCTTTTCTTGAGGGCAGGAACACACAGTGGAGGGGAATTGAAGATTGCTGCATCTGGTTATTCTCCTGCTGAAATTACCTCTTTATAGACATCATTCACAAACAGCATGAGGGACATGTAAATAAACTTCAAGAAAAATATTCTACTGCCATAGTAGCTTAGTAAGTTAGGTATCTGACTGTGGAGCTAGAGGCTGGACGTGCGATTCCTCACGGTGCCTTCCAAGGAGAAGAGGCAGCCTGGGTGGCCATGGGCAAGCTGTATAGACCCAGGGCAACCCCAGAAGAATGGAATGGTAAATCATATGTGAGTACTCTGTACCTAGAAAACCCCCAACAGGGTCACCATAAATCAAAATTGACTTGACAGCACATCATCATCATCATCATTTCCTTGAATGGTTAAGAGAAGCTGAAATTCTCAGTTTCTGCTGTCAGTTATAACATTAGACTTGATAGGATTATTGCAGCCAAAAGGTCTCAGTTTCCTAAGTTTCCCAACCACCCTGGGGAGGGGAGAGCAGGAGGTGATTCTATGTTTTAAATCCCTCACTTCATGTTCAGACAGTGTATGAGACTTTGATGTACAGTACACAGAACAATTCTGTCAGAAAGCTTCTCACCCCAGAAGGACGCCTTTAATAAGTAAAACAAAGGTGCTATGCATTTGTGAGCTAATGAGAAACTTAGCAACTGAAATGTCCTCAATGAAAGCTATAAGTGGGAACACAGACGTTTGTAATTAGGTATTGACTTTGCTGAAGAGATCCTACTGCACAAGCCCTAGGAACAAAATGGCAAGGCTTCCCAGATGTTATTTGAAACATCTTTATTTTCAGTTTTTAAAATTTATTTGTTTATTTATTATAAACAAATGTTCAGATCCCATCCCCGGTCTTCACATAAGATGCTCCCGCTAACGGAACACAGAGTAGATCTATTTGCAGTCTGTATGTGTTGAATCCCCTTCCAAGGCAGACAAGACTCTAGGGCAGGTACAAAGCTGGAAGTGAGAAGGGCAACGTTTGGCGAGAATTGTGGGCATAACCAGCATGAAGTTTTTAAAAAATGATTCAGTGGTTTGGATCCAGAAAATGAAGCTTTGTTCAGACTCCGGGCTTCCTGAGTTTGGGCTGACTGATCAAGCATCATGAAGGCCAGGTGTCCATGTGGTAAATGTGTTGAGGCTCCCAAAATAGATGACTGTAAGAGACTGACTTAGGTAAATTTAGAGAAAATGTATACACACCCACAAACCAGACGCAGTATTTTGGTATTTCAGGCAGAAAATCCCACAAGCACTTCTCTTCATACTTGGCAGTAAAAATGCCATAATAAATTCAATAGCTAACAATTTGCTGCCTTGTCATGAGGCCCTAAATCCACCCGTTCTCTCAGCCTCCTGGTAATGCCATCCCTGCTTTGAGGGCTAGAGAAGGGAGTGCTCTAACCTACTGTTCTATCTAAAGATGTGGTTGCCTCTGGACTGAGCTCTTACTTCTTGCTGAAGCGATAGACCAGCCACTTTGTAGGTTTACCTTGTGGATGCCTTGATTATGGATGTGACCTAGAAGTGAGGAAAGCTTTTGAATTTATCCAGAGTTCCCATTGTGTTTCATCACACATTGCCAACTCTGACTGATTGCATTAACACAGAGGACTCTGAGGTCCTCAACTTTGATTAGAATTAAGGCAGACAGCCTCCTGCCCTCTGAATCCTTTTAATCCTAGGTGTGTAAGGCTCTTGTCCATGCAGTCTTTCCAAGATAAAAAGCACATGAAACAGGGTGCTAGGCCGATGCCAACATAAATGGATATGGGAAAGCTATCATGACTGTTTTATCTGAACCTGGGTTTCTCTTTTACCTACTCAGTTTTGATAAAGTTTTGAAGATAAATCAGTTTCATAGTCTGTTGGAAGAGTTCTTTATTTTTAAAATAAATATTGATATATTAATGAGGTGAGCTGAATCTCCTGAGAGTTACTGAGTTACGCTTTTTAAAACAATAATTTTCTCTCCATGTATCGCTCCTATTGAATTAAATACATTTATATGTTGTAGGAGTTGAGTCAATATGGAGAATGCACTGATTGATAGGCAAAATAATGGTATTGTTTTTCAATTGTGGTAATGCATTTGTCTCTTTAGTAATTCAAAGCATGGTCAGTCACACACAAGATTTTCTCTTCCCATTATGGAAATCAGTATGGTACTCTATGCTTTGTTCTGTCCACTTCTATATACATACATACATACATACATACATACATACATACATACATACATACATACATACATACATACATACATGCATACATGCATACATACATACATACAGACAGACAGACAGACAGACAGACAGATCTATCTATCTATCTATCTATCTATCTATCTATCTATCTATCTATCTATCTATCTATCTATCTATCTATCTATCCACACACATACTTTTGTTTTGACTGTTACCTTTAAAGTATTTAGCCACTAATTTTAAAACTAACTTGTGTTGAACCTACAGTGGTGATGATGTGATTCTTTAAGGAGAAACCATCATAGCAAAACCCTGCAAAGACACTGAGGTCAGCATAACCTTAAGGAATGAGAAGTGGGTCATTTTCTTCTCCCACCCTCACCCCAACAAAAGGAGGTGATTTACTATCCACAGCTGATGTAGTTTTAAGTCACTCAAATGCCACATTTCAAAACCCACTGCTGGTAGAACACTAGCAATGAGAGATCTTTCTGTTGCCACACCAGCTGGCCTTCCTCTTGACATGCGCGACGCCACTCCTGCCTCTCAGCCACCCTCTTGGGGAACACAAAATGGCCTCCTTGTGTTATACAGCTAGATATGCGCACTGTGAACTCTTCCATTTTTGTTTCATTATGCCTCTTTGGTTTTTGTATTTCATGTCTCAGCCCTTTCATTAAACACGAAAGGGGTCACCTATTTTGGGTTGTTTAATTTTGTTTTTCTCCATTTGTATTTCCTGTTGCTAATTCAAAAAAAGCCCTTTAAAAACCCATAAAAACTACCCCCAAGAGGCAAAGGCAGGGTAGCAGAAAATCAATCAATTACATGACACAGACACCTCTACCAAAAACAACAAAAGCCACTAAAGAAATTGTAAAAACCATTTGTGCAGCCTCAAAATCAAACAGAGCCAAAACTCTATGCATCTAAAGGAATCGGAAGTTTTTTTTTAAAAAAAGAAAACACCTTTATTTTTTTCTGAGCCCTCCTGAATTGGAACGTCTCATCCTTGTCCCAAAACATTTCTGCAAGAGTTCTTTGATAAAACCTGGGCATGTTGTCTGAATACTACAACTCCCATCAAGCCCAGGAAGCATAGTTAGAGGTTAAATATCATGAGAGCGGCAACCTAATATCTGGAGGGCCATAGATCTCCTTACCTGGCATGGCCTAATGGTGTACGCTACTTTAGGCTGTACACTTTGGCTGGCCTATGAGTTTCTGGAAAATGTATTCATAGAAGGTTGTATGTCTTATAATTGAGAATCACATGCTGCTTGAAACAAGACCTTCACTTGGATAGTGAATATGCTTCTGCTCACTGATGCTTTCTTTGCTGCACTGGTGCTTTTTCTTCTTCTGTCCCCAGGTCCAGACCACCACCATGTGCATCTCAGTTAGTCTCAGTGGCACAGTGGTCCTTGGCTGCCTCTTTACACCGAAGCTACATATCATCCTTTTCCAGCCTCAGAAGAATGTAGCCAGCCATCGTGTTTCCACCAATCGTTTCAGTGTGACGGCTGCAGGGTCTAGCCACTCCCATGGTGAGTGACAAAGAATTCTTCTAAGCAACACCCAATGTGTTGGATCCATTTTCAAACTGATTGACAGTAAACACTATCCTGACTTTATCTGTTAAATGAGCTTGTTTAGAGAGGCATGATTAACACCGCTTGCTCTGGGTCACTGCTGAACTGAACTTTCTTTAACCAGCAAATTTATTTCACAGTGGCTCGACTAAACATCTGGGAATTGCTGTGTATGCAACTGGAAGTTATTCACAGGGATCAAGCAGTATTATTATGAAGTAGAGCTCATGTTCCCATTACCAGAAAAGCACCAGAATATATTATTGAGGGCACCTGTCACATCCAATTTAGTTTCTTCAGTACTGGCTCTATTTGCACACTGCACTAAACCATGGTAGATTGCTCCAGCATCCTAATGCAAGACATGTTGATACAATCCTAACTTAGACTGACCATTTTGGAGTGGTGATAAATGGAGAAAAAATTGACAGCCATGGGCAAGATTCTGTCCTGTCCTCTTTAGCAGTATCTTAAGGTTTCCCTTGCCTTTGCTGTCATTATCTGCGTCCATCTTGATAAATGCAAGATGCGATCAGATTCTGACAGATTAGACCAAGGGTATATTTGGTAGTTCACCACCTGAAGCCCACTAAATATTTTTCACATAAATAGATCCTTGGCCCTGCTGGCTGGACCTTACTGGTATTTTATTGCAAAACACTTGGAGGGCAGTCGGTTGCCTGTCCTCGCAGAGTCCCACAGCCTCTCTGCAGCCTCCACCAGTGGCCATGCAGGGGCCCTGAGAAAAACACAAGCAATACAGGAGGCCAGGTTCGCATTTCATAAGACAATGAAGAGGAAAGGTAGTGGTACGCCTATTATGTGACTTAAAAATATCAAAGTGCTAAACAAACACAACTCATTTTCTTAAATCCATTTAGTATGATAACGCTAAAAGTTTCATCTGGTGTTTGAATACTGACTTCCCTGATATGCAGAAGTTTGCACTGAAGCTTTGTGACAACTCTTAAAATAAGAGCTACTTGGCATTCTAGCTGTGATGAACAGAAACTCAAATACACATCCCGGGCCAAGTGGTTGTGGTTAGCGGGTGGCAGCATTTCAGAGGTGGTAAATCAATATTGTTCTTTGAAAACTCCTCTGCATTATCTATCTTACAGGATCATCTTCCCAGTACGTCCCAACAGTGTGCAATGGCCGTGAAGTGGTGGACTCCACAACATCATCTTTGTGAACATCTACATTCTCTATCAGTGAATGTCTGTTGCCCCTGTGCTCACTCCTTAGGAACACATGCCTCCGACTTTCCAATTAGGCCTTTCTTTTCCTTTTACAGTTTCCTGAGACTCTCTGCTGGACAAATGTTGTCCAAGGGAAGGAAACAGGTTCATGAAACCTGAGATCAAACTTTTACCCCCAAGGTCCAGCATCAGCCCAGAAATTTGGACACCATTGGAGTTGAATATGTAAATAACCCATGTTGTTACCTTAACACTATGGATATAGGACTGGACAATGTTGATTTCCTATATAATTACTTGGGCAACAAGGTGATGCCCTATAAAGCATCTAGATATGTATTAATCTTCCTGCTTTTCTCCAAACACTTGAAATGGAATGGTCAGTGGTTTTTGCCCTTCCACATCCTCTCAAAATTCTTCTCAACATACAACACTTCTACTAATTGAGGAAGGGGAGGGTCTGACTAGGCAACCACTCTGAAAGAAGGAATACCAAGAAATCCATGGTGCTAACTACTGAAGAGGTGGGGCAGAATCTCCTCCCTTTCAAAACCTGGTGACACACAGAGAGATATTTTCAATAACTTAAACTGAAATAATTGTGCTCTCATGTTTGCCTGACGTTTTGCAAGCTTAGTCCAGGAAAACATCTTCCTAAAATTGATGAACAAAACTCTGACCACATCCGTGAAGGAAAGCAAAAGCACAATGGGTTTTTGCACCAAGCCTCTGGGTGTTCCCAGACCATCTGAGATGTAGAAAGAAGGGGGGACCATCAAGTGATGAGGAAGTTTTTTTTGAATGAGAGCTCTTTACAGTACGAGCTACAATGGTAAATACAGTGATGGGGCTTCTTGACATTCTGAACCTGAATAGAGGGATGAGACATTGGTTGTTGTGGGTTTTTCGGGCTCTTTGGCCGTGTTCTGAAGGTTGTTCTTCCTGACATTTCGCCAGTCTCTGTGGCCGGCGTCTTCAGAAGACTGGAGACATTTTACCAACATATGCTCATAGGGTCAAGTTCATCCTTTGCCCTATAGTTCTCTTGGATTCATTTGTGGAAATTACTAGAGCCTTCTTCTTCAGCCAGGAAGAAAAAATTATCCATTGGCTTCCTCAAACACAGGCCTTTTGGACAGACAGACTGCATCAGGGGAAGAAAAGAGTTCAAGAGAACTCCAGTGTACCTGAATGGAATGAAGTGCTTGGAAGCTGAATGTCTTTCGTTCAAAAAGGATGTGTATACTGCTCAGTTCTTATGTTGACATTTTTTGGAGGAGCTGCTAATTATCAATTTTCTCATATTTGCATATTACCACAGCAACCTAACATCTACACTTGCTTCTTTGGCCCCTAGAGCAGTACATGGCCAGATCCCTAATGGGGATGGGGTGGGGGGAGTCCAAGCCAGGCTCCTTGAAATCAAAGGAAACTACACAGAGCTAGAGAGGAAACTCACTTATCAATATGGGGCAGGAAAAAAATCAAGCAGGGAGGGTGCACCTACTTCTTTGCACTTTTATTTATGTATAGCCTGTTTTCAGCTGGTCTCCTCTGGCTACTGTTGAACATTCTTCTGAATGCTCTGTGTAGGCAGCTGGCCAAAACTGTTAATATTGTTTTGCTTAATGAAAAAGGCCGCTCTGCTGCCATCTGTCTTCCCCTGTGTTACTTCTGTTCCAGCCAACTTCTGCAGACAGGAGTATGCATAGAGAAGCTGTACTCCTCATGCCTGTAACTAGCTAGTGGGAAGCATGGTGACACACTACGTCGTTTCTGTGCTCTACATGAGATCTTCTTATGATTTCACTAGCAATAGTATCTCTGTGAGGACTTCCTACATCCGCAAGCAGGAGCTGTAAATTTTGCTATAACACATAAGATTTAGTGAGCAGCTAATCTAACAAACATCACCACATTTCTTTCGGTATATAAAGGTAAGTTGGCTTGACTCTGAAAGATTCCAGCTCAAATGGAATAATTCCAATTGAATAACAACTCTAGCATAACTATTATCACTGTAAATTTCAGTGGTGAATTGGTGCTAGTTAAGAAATTAGTGTTTGCATTCTTTTCCACATCTTAAGTCATACCTCTGGTGTTCGATTAAAAAAACACAACTTCTGGCTTCTTACCAAGCATCAGTTCACCTATGAATTTTATGGTGATGGATTTAATGTCAACAAGCATAAGTAATATGACTCTGGCCACAGCAACCATAAAATATGTAAGTATGGCCATACATCTGCTTTACAAATGGCACTAGAAGACTTCTGACTGGTCCAAGTATATTTGAGTCTGAGTCTTTGGGCTCCAGGCCCACTTTGCCCGTTATTATGCTCATAGTTACCATCAGATATTGTCTATCTCAAGCAGCTACCGGGGAGGCGGCCACGTGTAGGCTGCATAATCAAACTGTAAACCTCCCAGAGCCTGCTTTAAATGCTATGAGGCAGTATATAAGCAGCACACATTGCTGTACGTTACAATTGTTTAGAAATGAGTGAGGGTGGAATCTGTCCACAGCATGATCTTTTGCCTACCTTGAGAGCATGAGAAAAAAAATGCTATGTGGCTGATCCCAAAAATATGGTAACATAAATGGAAAAGTGATAGGTGAAGGGTTGGCTGAGTGGGTTCAGCTTTGGGTGACCCAATGGCCTTGAGCATGGCAGGAGTCCTCTCTCAGGATGGTAAGTAGAAGTGTGGCTAACAACTTTTGCAAAAGCTTAGGAAGTATAAAGACACTTCTTGGTCTGATTAGGATTTGTGTTGGTTGAAAATAGTAACACCAACTTGCTGGTGAGTGTGTAGCACAAGGTCTAACTTTCAGCATCAGTCTCTACAATAAACAGAGACTGTTTTGGACATCATATCATTCTGTTTAATCTCGAGACTCAATATGCATCTTTTTGTTGGTGTGGGGAAGGAAAGGTTAATTAAAGAATAATGCAATGGAGATACTATTAATCAAGCTGCTTGAAACTTTGAGCTATTTTTGTTACACACCTCTGTTTAACTCCAATGCTCGACAATCACTTGAGAGGATATGTCTCTTTATTGATGGTTAGAACACCTATTTCCTGGCAGCCAACAGAAAATTGAGATCTCCCATGTAAGTCTCTCAGAAAAATCAGTCCAACATGACTGTGCCTGCAGCTGCATGTAGTCCTCAGATCAGATTGAGAGGAGCAAAGTACATGGATGGAGTTGAAAGACTTCAAGGCCTTAGTGTTCATTACAAGGGAAGCTGTAATAAGAATATCAGAAGCACAATTTTACTTCTCGGGAGCAAATCAGTTTAGAATTAATCACCACATAAGCATTCTCCACTACATGGCTTCTAAACCCATGAAGCTGGGAGGACAGTTTTTGCCCCTGTAAACAGACCTTAGGTCTCATTCTTGTCTGTGGAACGAACATCTCCCCCCATAGCTTGTGGGGGAAGACAGAACTACCTCACAATCTTAAGAAGACCAAGACTTTAAATAACAAAAAATTTAAAATAAGGAGCTCAGATTTGTATTCATCAACAGCCCACGTCTCAGACGTAACCTGCATAACTTCCTGCTGGACCCATCACTAGAATGGATGGCAAGCACAGTACTCGAAGTATTCAGTATGACAACACTGAAAACAGAGACTTGAGTGTCTAAAAGGTATTTGCAAACTGCAGTATTTCCTGTGTATTCATGTATGTGTTTGAGCCAGGCAATGTATTCTGATGAGTTGAATTAAAATGTTTTTTAGACAATTCTTAATGGATAACCATTTAAACTTTTGTGTCAGTGCCACTTTTAAAAACCACTATACCCATGGCATGTCTGTATTAGAGTATCTCCGCAAGTTAGTAACAATTTGAGGCACCTTCAGTATAACACGCATCTGCCTCAGTGGTCATCTATATTGACAAAACATGTGAACTATTGTTCGTGACATATATCATGGCTCAGTACACTGCAGCAGGATGAAAACAGGTGAACCTTCCCCTTGCCCTATAAAAATGAAATCTGCATAAATATTCCACTGATACAACAAGTGAGCTGCCACCCATGTGCTCTTCTTTCTTGTTTAATGGGAAAGAGTGGAAGGATTTGCTTCCTTTTTTCTGGATCAGAATTTAGATATAAATCTCTGCACCAGAGATTTACAATAGGCCATGACGTAAAGGGGCAGAAACAAATGTTTTTTTCTTTCTTTCTTCTGATTAACAAAACTGTACAAAAGCACTTGCAATACTCAACGGGTTATGTAAAAGACAAGAAAAATATTACTGCAAAAATTCTCCCATCTTTTTTCAAGTTAATGGAGCAGAATGGAAACCAGCTATGATCACAGCCAGACATCACCAAGGACAAACCAAGATTTAACCCACAGGCTAAAATCTAGTTCATTATAGAGAAGCTTGTGTATTAGTCAAACTATCATCAAACTACAGCAGCGAATACAAAACAGAGTCTAGTTAACAGTTGTGGGGCTGTTTCCTTCATCATCAGAATCAATCTGCCTGTATCCATTCCCCAAGCAATGATGGCACTTAATACCCTGTACTCTTGTTACTGCTCCCCTTACTCTAGCAGTTAAGTTCAAAACTTCTTTTTGTTTAGTAATCTCACCTAACATCTCATAACACCACTATTAAAACTGAACTGATTTGGAGGGCATCAAAAATGTTGACTCCAAAATATCTGTGGCTAAATGTTAAATTTGTATTATAGTTAAGAATTGGTGTTGGGGGCAGATATTTTTCTCAATGACCATGTATGCCAAGGAAGGACTCCTAGGGGTAGTTGTGCATCTTGAACACAATTCAATACATACGTTCATTGGTGTTTAAGACGCCATGAAATGTAGAGCTGCCAATTGTTTTTCTCCCCAAGCCTTGCACTAGTGCCTTTAGTAACACAAATACACAAATTTAATAGGCTAAGATTTTTCCTTACTTCTCTCTCTTAAAAGGAAAAAAATGTCCCAAAAACGACTTTGGATGTTGGACTGCTATTGGAAAAAATTGCACACATTCAAGATCACAGAAATTCCCAAGTTGCTCTAATTCCAGCAGTTGACATAGCCAATCCGACTTCCATATGCCTCTTCAACTAAAGGTGTAACTAAAAGGTGGATTAAGGCTGTTATGTCCTTCAACATTATACCACAATTCAGCTATGCATAATTACACTCCAAAGGATGAAAGTGATGTCTTGTCTAGTCTACAGATGTTAGAAATAGCACAATAGCTTTACCATAGACGGATGTGATTCTATATCCAGGTCTCTAACAGTCCCAAAATATATCCACAAGACTTTTCCTGTTAAGTTTCCCCCATTTCTGGTCCTCTGTGACTCTGACACCAAACTGCTAGGATCTGAACAAGTGGAAGTGGACTTGCTCAAAGCAACCCCTGAGAAGAACAGAGATTTGCCAGAATTGTTCTGGTCAGTGAAGGTCTCAATAAAAGACCAACGTATTCTGGAGTATTTTGGTTTTAATGCATAGTTAGAAAACAACAACAAAACAAAGCCAAGAACAAAAGGTAAAGAGCATTCATGCATTGTAGACTATTATATGCAAAATGGCTAACCATACCTATCTGGAAGTGGAATAAACACACTACTTACGTGTATCAATTTATTCCATCTTAATTCCACTCTTTATTCAAGGAGCAGCTGGTGGTGCGTGCAGGTGTTCCCTTTCCCGTTTTTATGTTCATAATCACTCTGCAACATATGTAAGTGGCTGGCCCAAGGTAATTAAGTGATGATCTGGGCTGACTAACAATTTTAACTTTGTTCTTCTAGCACCAGCACTCTGTCCAAAGGGTGAGCAAAGAAACTAGGTCTTTTGGTGAACACATTTTTTCTCAAATGAGCCCTTTGATTGCCTATATGTCATTCCTCATAGGAGAAATACCATCACCAATCAGAGGATTCACAATTTGTAGCTAAGACATAGGGACATAGGTTGCTTATGATGGGAACAGGCAATGGCACCTTATCCTAAAATATCAGGGTGAAGTGCTTTCTTCTCAGACCTTGAGCACCATGGATGAAAGGGAAATTTTAATGACAAGACTGATGGCAAAATTTAAAAGGGAATAAAAAAACCCACAAGGACAAAATACTGCATTTTAATAAATTTGTTTTGAAGTGAGATTTCATGGATCAGAATCCACTTCTTCAGACAAAGACTGAATAACCCCTTGAGTGTTTTTATGTTTTAAGTTTCATGAAATATTTACACAGTATTGAAAAAGTGGAAGGGGAAAGAAAGAGACAAAGTGCTGCTATACATAATGTTTGAAAACCAGAATGTGAGTTTTATCTGAACTAAACACGAAGTATTATTGTGACTCATATTGGTTTTTTAAAAAATGAAGAGTTTAAAGTAGATTTTTCTGTGACTTTGTGATTTTTTTGTAATTTATGTAAATAAAGTGCTTTTTTTATTATGGATTTGAAGTGAGTGAAGTTGAAACATTAAGGGATCCAGGGTTATGTGAGACAACTTTATCCCCCCCCTCACCCGCCCTGCCCCAGAAGCCTGGAGACTTATCCTCCCCTCAGATTCTCACCAGGTGGCCACAGCAGCAACTGGTAACCATCTTGTCACCTGAGAATTTTGCATCTTGAGAGGATTATAGGCAGGATTTAATTTACTGTACTTATCCACAGAGAAGAGGCCTCTGTTCACCCACACAAAAATATATATAGGATTTTGAAGGAAAATATAGGAGATTCACCCAATTAGATATTTAACTTAAGCTAGAAGAGAAGGCATTTGTAAAAGCAGCAAGCATTCACAACAGATCTCCCTCAAAGGAAGTCTTTTTTTATCTCCTTTTAAACAACTCATACTTCATAAAAACGTTTTTTAACCACTACCATCTACTCCAGCAGAAAGACATTCTCAAGAATAGGGATGAAAAGAAAGTTCACATTGCCTGGATTTTCAAAAGAAATGATTTTATGGTGTGTGAAATTATTAATGACAGTGTTTGCATACCTCACATTTCTTGTCACAGTAGATCACCTACTGGTTGTATTTCTGTCTTTCCTTCAATACGCTCATAAGTGTATTATGTCCTCACAAAAGCAATCCTGTGAGGCACGCTGATCTGAAAAATAGTGACTGAACCAAGATCACCACTGAGGCTCAGTGGCAACTTGACCACTGGTCCTACAAGTTCCAGTCCAACATACTTCATATCAGCATAAGAATCTCACACAAACAGACACAAATGAGTATGTTTGAAAAATGAGGTAAGTGCATTTCTGTCAATGGGAAAATGTGTGAAAAGGCATATTTTTAAGGAAAATATGTGGGAAATGGACACACATTTCCATGTGAGAAGAAACACAAGGTGTCACATCACAACATAAAACAGAAGGAAAAGTAGAAAGGATTAGGGAAAATGTAAAAAAAAACCTGTGTGTGAAAGATTTTCACTTCCTTATTCAAGACTGCAAATGAGAAATTCACCAAACTCTGAGAAATAATGCTGGAATTAGACAGTCTAAGATCTCAGCTATGAACCACAGAGGCCAATGCAAACAGAATGAAGAAGAGATGAAAGCAGACGTGCTACACATATACACATTATTCTCTTTAACCTAATGTTTTTTAATCTTTGGTCCTCCAGTTGTTTTTGACGAACTCTCAAAATCTCTTACCACTGGACATACTGAGGCTTCTGGGAACTGAAGTCCAAAACAGCCAGAGGATCGAAGGCTGGGAAACGCAGCTTTAACCTCTGGTCAAAAAGATTATAGGCAGGAGGTCCTGCTGCCTACGATATAGGACTCCTGTTTCCAGGCTGAATAAATGGACCTTGAACTCTTACAGTCTGACTCCCATCTTCCCTCTTAAACTGACCACTATACACTCAAACAACAACAGTCTTTTGGGGCAGGATGGTTTCCACAAAGAGCATCCAGACTCTCTGAACGCATAAACCAGATTTCAGCAGCCCATTAACAGTACTCCCAAAGGCAGCCTTAAGGGAACCAAAGGAAGGCAATTGGAGGAAAAGTGGGGTATCACAACCAATTTTAGTAATAATTTGTCAAAAAAGCTTCAATTATCTCTTTAACATGCAGTTACCCCTTCATAAGGTGTGAATATGTTAGTATGTTCATAGATAAAATGTGGCTGCCAGAATTCTGTAACCATTCATGTAACATTTGTGTAACTAGCTGCAACTAAGCGATGAGGTACTAGAGGAAAATCTTGGTTGTACTATCAGGCACATAATCTGGAATGTGACCAAGCTGTGCCCTGGCACCTCATCAATTAGCGATGGCAAGTTCTGAAACCTTAAGCAAATACCAATAGGATTATGGCCAGGAGATTTATGATAAGAGCAACATCTGGTTTTCTGTAAGAAAATATAAGTTTAAAATGGCAACATTCAGAAAACGGTGGGGGAGCTAAAGAAAAGCAATGATTGGGATGTAGCTACCCACCGTACGTTGGGTGCTACCCAAGACTGAAGAGACCTGCAAAGAAACATGTCACCTGACTTAGTGAAGACCGAGAACTCAAGACAGATGGCTTGTCTCTCTCTGGGATAAAATGGCAAGAGAAATCAGTGGGAATGGATGCACTACTTAAGAAATTAAATGTGACTGACAGAGAACTGCAGAACCAGTCTGTGAACCCCATTAGCTTTCTGAACTCTAGAAGATGTGTGGCTCTACAGACCACAACAGAGGACTATTCCTTTGTTTCCAGACACACAGCACACTTTTAAATCTTAGAACTGCAAGCTGGAAGGGATCCCGTGGATTGCTGAGTCTAGCCACCGTCAAGGAGGCACAGTGGGGGAACTGAACTGCCAGCCTCTGGCTCTGCAACCAGATGCCTAAACCACTGAAATATCCAGCAGTTTAAAGTCTGCTTGACAACTCTGTGGAATAACACCAAAAGGATTAAGGGATGGCGACTACTATTTTACAAATACAAAGGGCAGTTTTAATGTACAGATTAATTTGAAAGGATTCCTCCAAATTATTTGCAGAAAAATAGTATTAGGAGCCTTCGCCAGATATCACTGTGTTGCTTGCTGTAGTCTTCTTTAGCGGGATAATGCAGATGCTGTTCTTGGCCTCCTTGATCCTCCACCAACGGCCCAACCTGCAACACATCCCAGAGGAAGTAAGTCACCTATCGCTGAAGCACTCCTCTTCAGAACTGTGATCTAGCAACTCTGAATACGGACCCACACACCTGAAGTAAGCACTACACCGATTCCCACCTGGTGGGGATCCTATCAAAATGTATAAAGCTGATAAAACAGATACGCAGATATATTTGCAGATATGCTTGTGAGCATCTGACATAGCTGGAACTGGAATTTCAGCTTCAAGGATGGTCTCAAATACATCTTCAGCACTTGAGGTGCTTACTTTAATTTCTAACCCAGATTAAACTCCAGATTCTTAGTGCAATTTCAAAGTAATCTCAAAGTAATCTTTGAAATGTCTGTCCCACAGAGTGTTATACCAAGACAATTTTCCCCCATGCATATCACTTACAAACTTTTCCGACAATTAAGGTTTTAAGGAATCTTATTAAATTTAATGAAAATACAATGGGTTCAATAGAAGAGTACTAACCTTGCATCAGAGTCACCATTCTCAAGAACAATTTTGGGAGTGGGAGGGGGGACATTTTAACATTTCACCATGAATTTGACAAGTGAATGTAATTGAATTGGAAATCATGTTCACATTGTAATAAAAAGAGAACTACAAGATTACAAACCTATGTTCTTGTCCAACTCCAGCAACCAAGAAGTTTCCAGAATTTGAGAATTTCAAGCTATTAACAAAGCCAACCTGAGGGGGGAAAAATACAGCCCCACATTAACTATCAAAAACGAAGAAGACTGTGTACCTACCTACGCATATGCTGCCATGCATGCCTGTAGCATGCAAATGCTCACACATACATATACATCCTTTTGACGTGTATATGGGGTAGACATCAGACAGGAACACCATGATGTGAGATGAAGCCAAGGTTCAAACTCCCTTCAATTCAGCATAAACAAAGCAGCTATATGCTTGAGTTAGGCATGGCAGAAAACACTCAGGAGTGTTCTCCGTACTTCAAAAAAAAATTCTTGTAGCACCTTAAAAACTAACATATATATTGACATAAGATTTCAAAGTGAACTCTAGCTTAGGACTATTCTTAAAGCAACATACACGATTTTAAATATGCTTTTAATATATTTGTTTAATTTTCTAACAGTCTAATAATTTATGGTTTTTAGCCTTTAACATTGCTTCTTTTTAATAATGTAGGCCTCCTTGGATCCTTTTTAAGGAGAAAGGTGGGTTAAACATTTTAAATAAATAACACAGCCTTCTGAAAATAGCTACAAGGAATATCTTTGCCAGCTGAACTGTGAAATTTCATATTAACTCCCAATTATTATAATGTCTATTGAAGTAGACAGATCTATTCAAGTGTTTGGAAGAGTCCCTTAGATACAGTGAACCACGTTTCTCTGCAACAGTTCACCAGTACTGGTTATCCTGCCCCCCCACCCCCACCCCGCTTAGCTTTAAAGTTGTCTAGTTTGAAACACTACATAGGGAAAAATATGTAGAGTATGCAAGTAAACTTCTCCATCCAAGCACTTTCCTCACCAAGGGAATTTCAAAGAGTGGCTCCAGCCTTCGGAATCCTTCTCCACACTTCCACAGTTTCACACTGGCATTATGGGAACCTGCCAAGAACAAAGCATGTGAGCGCTTCCCTCCAGGGTCTAAAGGGGTTCCAAGCACTGACATTCTCCTATGTTAGCTGGCAGTTCTGGATCTCTCACTATTTGCCCCACGGGTAAAGAAAAGTATTTTTAAAAACTTAATCCTGGTCTACTACTGCTTCTGCTTTGGTGCATCCTGAGGCTTTTCTCCTTTCTTTATAACTAACAGGCTTACACGGGCTGCTTTATCAGTTGCTAATACCTTTAAAAAATCTGAACCTATCAGAACTCTTCACTTGATCACATTATACATTAACAACTCATTCAGAAGAATACTAATCCTGTCTCAGAGCTACCATTCTCTAATCAACAAGTAAAATCTAAAATAAGGAACTGTTGTATATGTCGTTCTAAATCCAGTTGTTAGTTCCAACTAGAGTACACTGCTAAATCAATGGGAATTTAGGTAAGTCAACACCAAGTCAATGGTTGTACTCCATGTCAGATAAAAAGAAAGTTGAATTTTCATCATTATCCTAGATTAACAGCTAGAAAAAAAATCTCTTTCCACAAAAAGATAGCCCGCCCACTCAACTGAACAGCACTATGGAAGACCCCACACAAATAGAAGAAGAGAGTGTTCTACTCAGTTCATAGTCACGTGTTGATCTAAGTTACAAAATCATTTCCCCCTCAAAAGCACCCAGTTGTGTTCTCTGATATCACAGCCCAAGATATCAAAACACCCTAGCTAATGGCATCCAGGTGGAAAAAGACCAAACGCAATTCTGTGACAAGTGCAACAACAGAACCATCCTGCCATCAGAAAACATGAACTAGTTGGTTGCCTTTCGGAAGTCCACGTTGCAACAGTGATGGGATAATACAACTATTAATCCTTCTGAGATCCACTTTGACAAAGGTTTTAGAATACACTGGCAAAAGCAGCAACAAAGCCAAGAACTTGTTAAGCAAGCACTTCCAGTCAAAATTAGATGGAAACAGAAGATGGCTTTCTGCAAAGCTCTTCGAACAGGTGTGCACCCATTCAGACCGGGGCACCACTAAGTTCAACTTATTCTCAAGCACATACTAAGATTTTAGCCTAAGATACACCTAACCTGCCTGTTACAGCAGACCTCCTCTCTGCCTTACCCCACCCCTGAGGCAACAGAAGAAACAAGACGAGGGTCTCACAGCATGAGGCACCTGTGGCTACGAGGTCACTGTTCAGCAAGGCAGCAACAGAAGAGATCCAATAGGGCTGTTCTAGGCCCTGCATGCCATGCAGGCTATGGGCTTTCTTCACTGTGGCGAGTGGTTTCTTCTTCGAGAGACCCCAGAGGGCTACTGAGCTGAAGGACAGAAAAACCACAGACGATTTACCACACACAGTAGAAGCTTAGGAGAGATCAAGACTTCAAGAGGGACTCACCCATCATCTGCACCAGACACCATATGCTCCTCATTGATCAGCTGGACACAATCGATAGAGCCCCTAATCCAAAAGAGAAAACCGTGACTGTTTTTGATCTGCACTCTACTAGAGAAGAAAGCTGAAGAGTCCAAACTAGGAGCAATCAATACAGCAGGTGCTCTGTGACAAGTACATAAATGTCTGGGGAAATTAAACTGAAACTCAAAGACATAAATGCAGGGCAAGTACAGCAGACACACTCTGGGGCCATTTTTTGTCAAAGACAAAAGATTTCAGCACCCAAACTGCTTAAAGACAAGATTGAACAAGGGAAGATAATCTAAGGATGAACATCATGGGAAGATTGTTTATCCCCCCAAGCTGCCAAACGGAGGTGATGTGTCACTGGGTTGTAAGCCAGTCTACAACATGCACAACATTTTGGGATGAGGAATGGAACCCTGAAGTCATGCTGATCATGGCAAATGCCTTCTAGATTCTACTAAAATTAAGATCAGAGACAGGCATCAGCAAACAGAAACTCCAGAGAAAAAAATTAATTAAAACATGAAGAAATTCCATTTATCTGAGTAAGTCAATATTTAGCTTTAAAAAAACTGTCCCAGAGGGAATGGTTTATGTTCCAATTGGGGCAACAAACTGTTTCACTACACTGCCCCCATCCTAAAGACAGCAAACTTCAAGAAAGACAACTACCTCCAAAGGTGCTCTTTCTTAGTCCTTCCCTTTGTCTTTGTTTCCTCCCTATAGTTTGCTAGAGCATGAACTGGCACAAAAACATAGTCCCCTTCATCTCCAGTCAATATTCCCTTTTGACTACAGGTCTCCTTAATATTCTTTGCACCTCTTCCTTTAATTTCTTTCTTTCTCCAGACTTCTACTAAGCCCTTTTCACTTCCACTTCAATTCCCCAGTGCTTCGGTACCTCACTTTACCAGATGAAGTTATATTTGTCTGCTGTTACCTCTTCCTGTCACTTCCGTTCTACATAACTGTATAACATTTGGCGAGATGTGGGTGGAATGATAACTAACTGGTTTGGTCAGATGGCATTGTACTGATTTGTTTGCATGTATTAATTGAGTTACTGGATATTCTTTTTATATTCTATTTTGCTACTATAAAACACAGTTATTCTAATTCTTCCCAACTGATATATCTACTTCTGATCAGACAACCACGTGTCACTGCTTCACCACTTTCGATCCCTTAGCCTGGGCTTGGAGAGAAAGGACCAATCTTAGGAAGCTGCTCCCAGGGACTTCTACCCCTCACTTATCCTGGGGCACCACTCCTAACACATGTGTATCATCCTCGATGACAATCAGCCATACTTAGGTAGAATTCCAGCTATTTTGCCTGCATAAGATACCATTTGATGCTGGCAAGGAATAATCTTGCAATGGCGATTTCGTGTGTAACGGGCATCTTAGGTAATGTACTGTAAACCTCACCATGATAAGCCCACTTGAGCAAACAGATAGACTATTGGTAAATTCCACCAGTGTTATGTTCATGCTGACAAAAATTGGGAAAGTAACCAGCTCAGAAAACTTCGCTTTCCTAGCTTCCGCTCCCAGCCCAGACTCTGCTGCCAATCCAATGCAATAATCCAGACTAATCAGTGGGATTCCCTGACCCACAGGAAGAGTTTGGGTACATGTGCCCAAGGGGCTGCAGGAGGGGGAGAATCAGTAGAAATTAGTAAGAGAATTCCCCTTGCTTTTTGAGCACAGGAGTGCTATGAGGGGTTCCTTTGAGCCCAGCCACTACACCAGACAGTAGATGGAAATAATTCTTGGGAGGCCAGGCTCTAAAAAGAATCTCTTCCACTCAGTGAAGGGAGAACCCATTGCTTCTGCCCAAAAAGGAGTTTCAGAAATGGCCAAGTCAGTGTCATTAAAGCTTCAGGGTGACAGGAGAGGCACAGCAACAATGGTGTGGAACCTTGTTTGATGTACACTGCGCTACACAACTATCACGAATCTCCCCTCCCACCACAGAGACACTCATTATCAAGGAAACCCATGAGAGTAAGGGATCGTTCTTACTGGTGCCCATAGAAGACCAGCTGCGATTCTTCAGGGATCTTCCAGACTCTGACCGTGCCATCCCTCCCGCCGGATGTAACACAACACTCCCGGCTGAGGCTGTCTAGTCCCGTGATCACATCTTGATGTCCAAACCTGAGAAGGAAGAAACAGGTGAGAATTTGCTATGGACTGCATGCATTAGGGGATCTGGCACTTTGTCTGACAATGTTTCACCTTCTCATCCGAGTAACAAAGGTTAAGAACCACTGCATTAGCGGATCTGGCACTTTGTCTGACAATGTTTCGCCTATAAAGATTTGCCATAAAGATTTGCTTCACACATGGTCTAGTGAGTGACATTTAGAAAAATCTGGTCCCATTGGTATGCTGCTATTTAATGTTGAAATGGTTCCCTTACCTTTTAAATAACTTCATACGAAACAATAGTGTTGGCAGGGATGCCTTCATTTATCCCTCCTAACAATGGTTAAGAAAGCACAGAGATTCTTGCACACTTTGACTCCCTGAAACAGCTTTCCTTATCCTGGTTCTCTCCAAACATAAAAGACTACAACTCCCATTACAGTCGTGCCCTGCTGGACGATTACCCTGCTCTACGACAAATCTGCATTACGTCAACATTTTTGCGATCGCAAAATGATGTTTTAAATGGGGTTTTTTTCATTTAACAATGATCGGTTCCCTGCTTCAGGAACCGATTTTTCGCTTTACGACCATCGACAAACAGCTGATCGTCGGGTTTCAAAATGGCTGCCGGCTTTCAAAATGGCCCCCCGCTGTTTTCTAGGACGGATTCCACACTATACAGGGACCGAAAATGGCCCCCGTATGGAGGATCTTCGCTGGACGAGCAGGTATTCAGCCCATTGGAATGCATTAACCGGGTTTTAATGTGTTTCAATGGTTTTTTTAAAATTTTGTTTGACGATGTTTTTGCTCTACAGAGATTTCGCTGGAACGAATTAACATCGTCAAGTGAGGCACCACTGTACTGCCAGCCAATAATGGCCATCCTCTCTGGCCATTATTGCTGGAGAGGATGGCCACTATTGATGCAAGAGGCAGCCCAGCTCACTGGAGGACACCTGTCTGAGTGGAACCAGTTAGAACTGTCGGAGGTAAAGAGCACATCCCAAGAATCAAGAGCACTCCAAGACTGCAAGAAGAGTCGTATAAAGAGCTCCTGCTATGATGTTGACAGACAAAAGATGAGAAGGCAAAATCGCTTCACACCTCCATCCACTAAGTGACTGTCAACCAGGCAGACTCCTTGCCTTCCATTTCAGATGCAGAAAATCATACTAAAGCAATGACCTGATTAATTAAGGTTTCTGATTAATGTATCAGCAAACTTAAGTTTCTTAGCTAGTTGTCTGTGCAACAGCTGTGAAAAAGAACCACTATGTTAACTGGTCACTGGGGCCAGCCTCTATCCTGTCCTCCATATCATCTCAGCCACACAAACACACAGAGAACCAGGTGCCTTTACAGTCTGGATCTCTCCCACAACGCTTCCTTAAATCTCACAAACACAGCAAAGAAAGGATGTTCCTTACAAGGTCTCCACATAGGCGTTCTCAGCCACGTTCCACACTTTGACTGAACGATCATGGGAAGCACTGTACAGCTGATGTGTGCCCTTCCGGAAAGATAAACCCTGCATGGGAAAATAGCGAGGGGGAGGGAGGGAGGGGGGGAGGGAAGGTGAGGATGGCGATACAAAAGGCAAGGTGGGCAGGGCGGCCTTCTCACTCACAACCACTTGAGCCCCTCTGCCAAACCTCCGGCTCATTCCACCCATTCCAAGAATCCAGGAGCTTTCAAAATTGCTGAAAAACGGAGGTAAGCTAGAGGTAGCAGCAAGAGCTAATGCCAGGAATGCCACAGCATCTTTTTTTTTAAAGTGTGGAAACAATCAGCCTTTCAAAAGGACTGAAAGATATTTTTTGTACACAATGAACTTTATGCTTTAGCAGTACTTGATTTTCTAACTGCCATTATAGGAAACATGAGGACACATGAACAACTAAAGCATCTCTCTCCTGTTCTCTTTCTGAAAGCATCTACGTTGTTGTATCTAATGGCCATTTCTTGTATATACATTTTCCCCTCTGATAAGAGTTTAAGGCGGTTTGCAACAGAAAAACATTATCAATGTATATCATTGCAGAAAGCCAGGACAGCCGGTTGTAATTTTGATTTTATTTATTTTAATAAGTTTACCCTGCATTTCTCCTTAAAGGGGCCCAATTTTACAGGCTGAAAAGCAGTCAATGAAATAATGTAGATTCTTTGTACAAAAATCTATTCTAAGACAATGTGAAATTCTTTATTCACATAATTCTTTCCTTATTTTAGGACAAACCATTAAATGCACCCATAAAAGTCCATTCTAGAGATGTGTATGACTTGACTGATAATGTCACTGCCTTCAAGCTGAGGAACTCACCGACACAGCATCACGATGGCCTGTGAACCTATACAGATGCTGGCATGTTGCAGCTTCCCAGATCATAATGAGCTTGTTTCTATCCCCTGTAGCCTAACAGAAAAAGACAAGGCAAGACAAGGTCAGTACTACAATTCTCTATAAAACTGCACATTTCAAACACTTCTAGTACCAGTAATAACCACAGAGACCCAGACAGCCAGGAAAAATCCATACAGGCTCATGACAGAGGCTTTAAGGCCTATGAATTTTTAGATCACATCTAGAGGCCTCCAGCTATCTTATAGGCCAAAGTGTTTGCTTCCTCATAAGAGGAAGAAGGAAAGTACGTTTCTCGTTACCAGGTATTTGCCATCTGATGATATAGCCATTGAAAGAATGTGTGCTGAGTGGCTAACGTGACTGTCCTCTGTCCCCTTCTTTCCTCCATGGATCACATGCAACTTCTTTCCGCTCTCCACATCCCCTAAGAGACAATGACATCCAAGTCAACTGGATGATGATATCCAAATCACACAGGCCTTTTCAAAAACCCAAATTAACATTTTTGAGTTTTCTTCCACACAGTTTTGAAATCTTGAATTATTGTGATAAATGTATTCTCAAAGGCTTGTCTATTGTGATAACGTTCCTAGTTAATTACCTAGAGAGCATTCAGTAAGGAACAGATAATATTGCAAGTGGAGCACAATCCCAAATCTACAGAAATCTATGAGGGTGGGGAGACCGTGTAAGCAAGACTAACAAATGCACTTTGAACATAACAGACTGTGCATTTATATTTGATAAACACACAAAAACCAGGAATCTGGGAGTACAGCTTTGTGCCTGAACTAACTGAAAAATAACACACATTTAAAATTGTAGTTTCACCTTACACACAGGCTTGTCAACAGAAGGAATGTTCATCAAAGAGTGTATATCTAATCAGGTCTTGTTCACCCTCCAAATCAAAATGGATCAGTAGAGAACAACAAAATAGAGAATACAAAGAACTGAAACAATGATAGATCACCCAAATTTCTGCTCAAACTTTGAATGCTGATTGATATATCCCATTCCACTGATTATCCCACCAAGATCCATATACTTCAACAAACAACTGGAAGGATAAAGACTAAGCACTAAATTACAAAATACCTTAATTCTGGCACTAGTTTACTTGGTGAATCTATTTTTGAAACGACAGAATTAGCACTCCACTCGCTTCCAACGGATGCAGTCCATACTTCACTGCTCAGTTTATGTCCTACAACATTCAGCTGTACTGACAGTTGTTTCCCATTATATTAGTAAAGCATCAGTATCTCTCCCAAGAGGTACGTTATGCAAAAGTGAAACCAAGCCAGTTAGTTCATACCAGTCATGAAGATGGAATGGCTGTGTTATTGAATTTAATGTTTTATTGTGATAAATTAGAGGTGGACTATATTATAGGGACCTGACACTCTAACCCTTTTGGACTTCACCTGACAGACCCGTACCTGAAGACACCTAAATCTCTCTCACCTTCAAAAAATATCAAGCTTCCTGTTAAAACAGGAAGCTAGGCTGGAGCTAGGCCATGAAACCCTTCAAGTTAAAGTATTTCAGGTGAGAGAAATTTAAGTGTATTCAGGTGTGGGTCTCTCAGGTGGAGTCCAAAAAATCTGAATACAACATTTCTAAAAATAACCCCCAATATGTTCATGAGGAGGCATCACAAATATCGTTTTCAACACTACTGTCCAGCAAATGGCCTTAAAGTCACTTATTCCTTCTCTGAAGCCAAGAAGAACGTGGGCAAGATTAGCTGAAATATCAATATAGTAAGATAAAACAAATGTGTGTAGAAATGGGAGTAGTCCAATAACACAAGAAATATTGGCTGCAATGTAAACATGAGTCATGTTTTAAAATAATCAGACAATATCCAAATCTAATTGTTAAGCTGAACCACTGCAAGGCCAACTTTGCAGATAACCCAGTCCAAATAAAATCACAAAAACTGAGAATACCAAGCTTTGCTATAAAGACAACCTTTTCATACTACAGAAAGAAAACTAGTACTTCAACATTTGGTGGGAGTACAGTGAGCCCAATTCTTCTCTGGATTAATTCTGTTATATTTCTTAAGAGCCACTCTTGAGCCTCTCACTTCCCTTCCATGCCTTTCCATTACCGCCACTGTAAAGAGTAAGACTCACATTTGATGATAGAACAGTCTTTGGCTGCAGAGAAAACATATTTATCGTCTGGTGAGATGACCAAACACGTAATAGGTAGCCGGTGACCTTGTAGCACTCTGATTTCAGATGCTTCTGGAGCCTGCAGCTGTTCAAAGAACAGAAATGAAATTGGTATTGACCTCCCCAGGCAGCACAGTGGAAATTAATTGCAGCTTACAAGCTTCCTTAAAGATGAATTAGGAAGATATATTTAAAGTTAGTTTATGACACAGGAGCTGGAGCAGAATACACAACAAGCCAATCTTGTTGACTACATGGAGTTGTTACGATCTTACCAACTTGTTTTGATCACAAATCTTCTGGTAACAGTGGGTTCTGTAGATAATGCATCCAAATTAAAACAACTGAATTTACTAAGTACAAAATTGGCTATGGCCAACTTACATTTTGGTTCACAGTAGCAATAAATGCTGCTATATCACGAGTCCTTTCATGGCGTTTTGCTATATCATGAGTCATTTCATTCCACCTCTAGTGCAGTGGTCCCCAACCTTTGTGACACCATGGACTGGTTGGGGGGGATGGGATCCATGTGCAGGGAAGGCAGGGCACTCCATGCGCTCGTGCGTGAACGGGCAGGTCACACTCTCACACACGCATGTGTGAAGGGCACTCGCACAGGGTGCACACACTTGCACATATGTTCAAAGGGGCGGAGGGACACTCGTACATGCAAAGGGGTGGGGGCACTCATGTGCATGCACAAAGGGGCTGTGGGGGGAGTGCGTGCAGGGTGGGTGAGATCTGTCTCCGCACCCAGTCCATGGACCAGCACTGGGCCGTGGACCGGGGTTGGGGATCCCTGGTGTAGTGGATAGAGTAACAGACCTGGGTTCAATTCCCCATCTCTGCCATGGAAACTTGCAGGGGGAAGTTGGAAGTGGTAAAACCAGTCCTTAAAAACCTCACTTATGTTGAAGGCCCTATTAGACTCACTATAACTCAATTCTGACTTGACAACACATAACAAATGCTCTTTACAATGCATTTAATCCCAAAAAAACATATTGCCTTCAAGTGTAGATTGGGAGCCTCTCCTACTCTCAAAGAAGATAGGTAAGATGGAAGCAGTAACTATACTAAAAAGAAGCAGTTCTGAAACTGAAACATTCAGCCACAAACTCCAGCCCCCAACCAACATCTTTAAAACATCAACCGCTCACAATCAGGCAGTCCTTTCTGACAGAAACATGAGATATGGATGCCTACAGAGAAGAAAAACTATTACTTTTAAAAGTTGGTAAAATAAAACCACAATTACAAGTGACGGGGCAAAAAAGCCCTATGAGGTAATTTGCCAGGAGTAATGTGTCTCATTCACTTCAAGGAATATAGCAGCTTCTACTATAAAATTATGTGGGACAACTGCCCCATGGAAGCCGATTTCACTTACAGTTTTGGCAATTTGTCGCTGCAGTTTTCCTTTCTGTTCAAGCTACAGAAGAATAAAACAATATTAGTTTTTTCTTCCACCATCACAAAACCCAAGTAGCTCGGCACATGCAAAGAACGATGCATACTGACTGAATACATCTTAGAGATGACAACCTGCTTTTAAAAAACAATCATATGTTCCTGTCATTTTCCAGCATGGAGATGTTACATTTCTCAAACCCATGTTTTGACAATACAACAGACTTTAAATGATTACAAGCAAAGTAGTAATTAAAGCCACTTCCTAATTTATAATCTCAAAAATCAGAGCTTCTAAAGTTACATTTTGGGAGACTGCCATTTCCACAGTACCTCAGCCAGCAGATCTGGAAGTTATAATTAAAAACAGAATTTTCCAAAAGTTTGGTCAAAATATACTTATAATTCTACAGAAATAATACAGATGTGAAACAGTGTTTGGGATAGTTATTCCCTCAATAAATGGGCCACAAAATTTGGAGAGACAACAGCGATAAGACTTCAGTTTTGCTTTGCAGTGTGCACAAAGGACAGTGAAGTGTTCCCTGGCAATGAAATATGAAGAAACGTAGAGCAGAGAACACAATATAACAGCTCACAACTGACACAGGAATCTGTTTTGTGAAACTTAGTTACATATACATACAATATTCTAAAACCAGCCACATACTATAGTTTGAATCTAGAATCTGCACACATGAATTGAGTTTATTCGCTCAAACTTCATGTCCTTTTCCTAAAACCTATGCTGGAATGTCAGGCATATTTTCTTTTATCTCATCATGAGGCTGAAAGCAAACACCGAGTTGATTCCTTCTAGTAGCTAGGTGACTCCTACTGAAAACCTAGCTCGCAATTAAGTTCTAATTGAGAAACAATATATACAGCACTGAAGCATAAGGATTTGCACCGAACTACGTAGCCTTTCCTGTCTAAGCAGAAAACGTAGTGTCTGGAAAGTTTGACTCACTGAATGGTAACTATAAGAAATATGTCACTGCACTGCTTATAAAGAGGGGAAAGAACTTGTATACACATCTTGTATTTGCTAATGTATTTAGATGAGGACAAGCTCAAAAAGAGTACATCAACAATACAAGATGTAATAAATGTATACAGCTTTTCATCAATCAAATAAAGGCAAGTATGGGCTGTGCACTCTGGCTGGACACCTCATTGAGTTAGGAGAGACTGGGAGTTCTATTCCGTACCAGAAGAACAGTCAGCCTTTGTGGCCTTGGGCAAACTGCACAGTCCCGGAGCACTCTCATAAGAGGGGACTGTTAAACCACTCCTGAGTACTCTGTACTTAGAAAATCCTAAAAAGGATCACCTTAACTCAGAATTGACTTAATGGCACATTACAGTAATTATTATTATAATTACTATGGGATACGGACAAGAACTCAGTTTATTTATTTAAAATATTGATATGCCACCTTTCTCTTGAGGAGTCCCAGGCAACTTACAGTATTAAAAGAAGGTAAAAACCAAATAATATATTATTACAATATTTAAAAAGCATTAAACAAATATATTAAAAATCACAGTAAAATACTGTATTAAAAATAAAAGTAAAAAAGAATAAAACGCATCCTTTAGGAAAAAAAATCCCCTTGGCCAAAGTTTCTAAGCTATCAGACTATATAGCAGGACAGAACCATAGTTGGAGGGAAATGTGAAAATGAGAATACTTAATTCAAGAGAACAAAGAAAGTTGAACCTCTAAAATGCCAATGCCTTAAGATGGGCTGATCACTGCAATACTAGCTCCTGAAAGTAGTGACCTTCTAGTCTTCTGCCCTACTTAGAAGCCGAGCTTTGCCAAGGCAAACAAAACTATTTTTCCACTCACAAACCCAACTCTTACTGGTACGTGGAAGAAGAACTGTTGCCTTTAAAAGTCTTGTCCACACAGCACAGAGAGTGACACCCATTTGTGTCCTGTAATGTAGGAAACCCATCAATTCTCCCCCCCCCTTTAATGATGACACCCTGTACTCTGGAGGGAATGGGGCTGTTTGCTTTTCTTCTACCCAGCTGATGTGACTGAAACGCTGACAGCCCTCTAGTCTACCCAGCATTCCAAAATGTCCTACTCACCACATCTTCCTTCAATCGGCCAGCAACCAAATCCCTCTCAAAAGCTTCTTCTTCAGCCTTTTCTTCTTCTGTCCAAGGAAAAACAAATCACATCAAAATAACCATGAGATTTTCAGAATAAAGAAGGCAAACATAGAAAGAAAAACATACAACATATTTATTACTTCTTTAATCAGCTAGAATTCTAGCACTGGCATTCATCAAAGCACTAAGAATCCATCTGTACAGTCCCTCAAATAGAGGTCTATTTTATAAAATTGCTGGGAATGACAGCTTCTTGGGTACCACTGGATTGGCATGTGATTTGGTAGATTTGCCAGAAAAACATGGAAGTATCAAACGCTATCCATTGCAAGGTCTCTAGTGGCGAGCTCCGATAAATACACCCTGGAAATACATATAAATATGCATTTCTGTTTTTTTTTATTTAGTATTTTCAATCACTGGATAAGAGAATAATTGGATACTGATATTGCAGATGGTGGGGGAGTTCCTACCATATTATCACAGGACAACCTCAACCACTGACTGTTTACCCTCAGATCATGAATTTTTCAATGGAACAAAAACACAAGGCTAACCCTCATCTCTCCAATATACTTTTTCAAAAAGTACTTTAGAGAGCTTCCATGGCTAGAACAGTAGACCAATCCAAGAGACCTGGATCAATTTTCTCGTTTCATAAGTCTGCTCAAGTCAAGTGAGAGCATAACATTTGAAAGAACCTCACTTCTTAGGAGTAGTTGAGAAATTCTCCCCTCATTCCACAGGTGCCTTTTGTCAAGGTTTTGTAATATTTAAGTAATCAACCTACTACAAATATTTAATTCCTTACAGATTAAATTAATTCTCTCACCTTGCTGTCGAAGCTGCTCCAGGTATAACTTTGCTAACCTTAGTTTCTTCTCTTGTGGCGTTTCCTCAATCTCATCTTCTGCTTCATTGTTCTTTTTCTTGGTTGGACTATTGACAGGAAAGACATGATCCACATGTTTGGATGTCACTTCTCCCTGACAATCATTCATTAGCAAAAGTATTTTCTTCCTAGTCCCTCACAGAACCCAGGCCTCTATGGTAGTTTCTAAAGGTCAAAAAGCCTTTTGCTTCAGAAATCCCCCAGGGAGGCTTCCTCTGGACAAGTATATTGAATGGACAGGCCTAAGTGAGATGAAGGATCAATAATACTATTCTAAATTACTACAATTCTCTTACCAAACCGAGTCTTTGCAACTTTTCCCAAGGGAATGTATACAAAGTTCACTTCTCATAGTATTTTTTTGAATATTACCAAAGATTTCATGATTTTCTTTCCAGGGTAGGGAAGGATACCGTAACAGTGCAACATATCCTCACCTATCTGGTTCAGAATCACTGGAGATCTCCTCATTCAGCTTGGAGCCAGCTTTCTGCCAAGCTTTCTCCTCTGTAACCTGAAGCTAAGAAATGAAATACATATTTCAGATGAGAACATCACATCTGTTAGGATGTGTTAGTGTAAGGTCCTTCCCCAGGTATTAAAGCACTGAGTGGCAAGCAAAGAAGATAGCAAACAAAGAGAAACTAGACAATTGAAGCATTACAACCGATGCCCATTTTACAGATAAAATGTGCTCTAAGGGGGGTGATCACCATCAACCTGCAGAGTATGCGTAACAAGTCACAAGACTCACAGAGAAAACTGATTTGGAGGCACTGGTACACATGAACATAGTGGGACGCCCTTTGAAAGACACAACAAAAACATTCCAAAATTTAAGATTGCAGCAGAATTTATTGGGCAGTAATTCCCACTGAATAAACTTTAACGAGGCCACGACTCTGACCCCCTTCAACAGCGGCGTGAAAGAGGAAAATTTCAGCTACTGCAATTGTGTCCTCGTGCATTTGACCATACAATAAATTGGCCCCAAATCTTACCGCACCCTTAAGAGCTCCCTGCCCCCCAGCAAACGACCCTACAATGCCCTCCCCTGATTCTTTTCCATCGACGCAGCCCCCCCAACTTCCCTCTGCGCCCATAAAAAAGGGCTGGAGTGGCTTCTTTCCACGGACTGACAATAACGTGATGGGGAAGCCAGTGGGTTAACACCGGAGTCAAGCTCTCTCGGGCGGGTGCCGTTACTCGCCGCCCCCGCTGACCTTTCGCTTCTTCCTCCCAGCACTCGCGGCCGCGGCTGAAGCCCCTCTCGGCTTGGGCTGCTTCCTCTTCCCTCCTGCAGCCGCCATCCCGTTACCGGGTCTGCAACCCCACCAGAGAACAGTCCTTACACGTGGCTGTAAGACCCACCCCTCGGGCACCTTCCCATAGGCCGGCCACCCCTCCTCCCTTTTTTCATTGGCTGAAATTCCGCCTGAAGCCCCGCCTCCTCCTTAGCTTCCAGAGGAAGTTAAGGAAGCAGATCGGGGAAAGTCACGCCTTCTTTGTAGAGTTCTCGTGACTGTCAAGAAAGCTATTCTCTTATTGGTCTGTTAAGCCGCTCGTCTTGCCTCCTTAGTGAGACTTCCGTATTGGGCGAAAGCAGTAGTAGAGCGCGTGCACCGGAAAGGTTGCCTCTCGGCTTGGGCAGCTGCTTCGTTTAAGGACTAGGTTCTGATCCGTGTCTTCGGGAAGGGAGAAGGAATGGATCAGTGACATGCGAGACAAAAATCGCCGGGACGCGTGGAGTGTGTGTGTGTGGGGGGGGGGACTGTGCCCTGGAGCTCAGGGACTGCGCCAGTAAACAGAATGAATAAAAGGCAGAAGGATCGAAAGCGTGCGAGGAAGGGGATCTCGGAGACCGAGGATTTCTTGGATCCCAGTTGATCGACATGAAGGATCCCACGTGGGTCTGTCTTGATTCAGGAAAAGGCGCGACCGCGGCGGCGTCCCACTTAAAAGAGCCCCGGTCTCCCCTGCTGCGTCGGTGCTCGGGGCTCCTCTCATGTTTCTCCCTCCTCCGGAGCGAAGGGGACACGGCTTTGGTGGTGGTGGTGGTGGTGGTGGAAATGGTGTCCCACCTCATGCCCTCGTCCGCGTCGCCTCCCGTCC